GTGTGTGTGTGTGTGAATGCCTTCTGAAATGCAGTGACTTTTTACGTCATTTTGATAATAATATGAAGACGAAATTATAGTTGTTCGCACTATTGTGCAACGTGATACTGTTTAATAACGGCGTGTAATATGCATACAGTTTTGACCCCAAACAAGAGTCAATTATGTGTAGGAAAAGAATGTAACCAACAAAAGCATCCTCCTAACAATACCAACCTCTCAAGAATGAATTTCATGTAGATCTAGATCTAGTAATGTTCTACAATATGCGAAAAAGATATTGTTCCACATTCATGTATGTTGAAAAAGAAGTAGAAAATGCATCTAGGGTGCAACAATTTGAAATGCACGATTCCAATAATTATGGATTGTTAAATGTAATTTATTAAAAAGAGGTCAATATTATGGCTTAATTTAAATGAGTGTTTTTTTAAAGGGATCAATGTCCATAATTTCCTTCTTTTTTTATATATATTCTCCTATGTTTTGTTTAAAGTTACTTCTTTTTTTCGGGGGGGGGGGGAGGAGACATTATGGAAAAAAGAAAAGACTTACGTAACGGGCAAACTGTCTTGAACTGGCCGGTGGGCCTCTATTCCAACTGTGTGTAGTGTAAAGCCGGGACGTCAGGAGTCTACGGCACTGCGGAATTTGACGAAGGCAAACAGTTAATAGTGAAGTCGACAGGCCTTCAAGTGTTCCAGGCCCGCCCACAACCCTTTGTCACTTTACGCTTCTACCACCGGGGCGGGGGAGGGGGGGAGCTTAGAAGAGTAAAGAGAATTGGGGGTTGCAGCAGATGGAAAGATGTAGTGACAGAGAAACGGGAAGGGTTGAGGATCGAAATGGAAAAAAAAAACAAGAAATATAACCAGGGAGACGAGAGGGAGAAACATATTAAGGGAGGGTGGTCGACAGACAGAGAGAGAGAGAGAGAGAGAGGTGGAGAGAGGGGGAGAGAGAGGGGGGGAGGCCCGCACAAACCTCTTACATAACCGTCTGCGTGTGCAAACGAGGGAAAAAGATAAAACTTAAGAATCATTAGATCAATTGTCTAAACACTAGCGAAGGTGGTAAGAACGCTTTGACGTTTTGACACGACGATTACTCACCTAGCGCGGTTTCCGACACCTTGCGAGCGTGTGTGAGTGGTCGAGCAGATGAGCGGTGAGTGTTTCAATCAACAGGTGTGTCTGCCGCTGAGCAATAAAAGTTCGGTCAGGTGAACGGTCTATCTACGTGCATGTCAGCGAAGCCGCTTTCCCTTTCTTCCCCGCGTTAAGAGGCGTGACAACGCGAAGCAGCAAGGTTTATGGAAGGCTCTCCCGTCTTCGGGTCTCTCAGCCAGCGCTTGTCGAAGGCGGCCAACCTGCCTGTTAGGTCATCGGCAGACGGCTTACTCGGCAATCACCCTGTCACCCAGCCATGCGCACAAGGAAAAAGTAATTCGACACATCAGGATTTTTCCCTGCAGGGTCACATGATCTTACCACATTGTGTTGTAAACAGTGTCATGTGACAGGCTGCATCTTGTTTTTGCTGTTATAATGTTTGTTTTCGGAAAAGATATGTTTTATTTAAAAATCATATTGTTCGAGCAGCATCTGCTGTCAATCTGTTTTGTAAAGATATTTCCAAGAATTGGGGAAGGGAGGTTGTTTTGTTTTGTTTGTTTTCTTGGGGGGGGGGGTGCAGTTTTGCAATTATTCCCTTTAACAAAAGAAGAAAAAGAAACCCGGCGTCTGTGGTGCGGTGGTTTTGCGTTTTGTGGAAGCACACAGACAGCGTGAGCTCGATACGTGACGAATGATACTTTGCGCCGGTGTTATGATACTCATTTCGTAATTCACCGACACACTCGGTTCGGAAACTTGCACCGAATGTAATTGTTGCAATCGATGATGATGGTATCGAACAGGTCGACTAGATGTGATTAAATGAATTTTGTTCATATGGACGTAAAAACTATATAACCAGTTTACCGAATACCTTTTCAATCTAACTATTCGGGTGAGATTCTTGTTCGGAGCCCTATTTCACTACCTATTTCTTTCCGCTTGGTCAAAAGAAATGACCACGTTTTTTTCGTAAGCATACGCTCTTTCTTTTTCTCTCTCTGTCTGTCTGTCTCTGTCTGTCTGTCTGTCTGTCTGTCTGTCTGTCTGTCTGTCTGTCTGTCTGTCTGTCTGTCTCTCTCTCTCTGTCTGT